CTGACGAGCTGAGGGACAGCGCCCAGGCCCAGAGTTCAGGCCCCACGACCAGACCCCCCCAAAAAACCAAAACAAACAGCAAAGTGCAGAAGACTGCCTCCATTACCCTGCTACATGCCATCGATTACATGACTAGCATCCCTTCCTAGCTAACTTGTATGGCCACCGTGCCATTACCTGTCTACAGGCAATACCTGTCTGTGTTGCTATGGTGATTCAGATGGAAAGAGCAATGTCTAGATTTGCCAAAAAATGTGGCACAAGAAAGCTTCTCTTGCTGAGCACTGGTAGCTCATGCCTGTAATCCTAGCTACTCAGGAGGCTGAGATCGGAGGGCTGAGATCTGAGGATTGCTGTTCAAAGCCAGCCTGGGCAGGAAAGCCCGGAGATAAGTGAGACACTTATCTCCAATAAACCACCAGAAAACCGGAAGTGGCCTGTAGCTCAAGTGGTAGAGTGCTCGCCTTGAGCTGAAGAGCTGAGGGACAGCGCCCAGGCCCTGAGTTCAAGCCCCATGACCGACAACAGCAAAAAGGAAAGCCTCTTAGCCACTATACACCCAGTCACTTCATAGCCAGAGAAAACAACGTAGCAGCACAGTTCCTAACAGCTAGAAAGGAAGGAAACAATGATTTTTCTACCAAGGATACATTAAATACACTGTCAAGAATCTCCTAAATGTATTCAGCATTCAAGGCCCATGACCAACCCCCCCCAAAAAAAGAGAACCCCTATGTAGTTAGATCAGGATGAATGACTCGAAGAATTTATGCCAGGTAATCCACATAATCTATCTCCCTTCAAACAACATTTTACTATCTTTTTTGCTTTAACTATTTCTTACAAGGTCTCATTTCTTCCTGGGGTCTGGCTTCCAATGCAATCCTCCTACCCATAAACCCAAAGAAAAGCGAGGGAAGAAGGGAAAGTAATGTTCACTGTGAAATTGCTATGGAGGGTCCCACTTGGTCGTCTTTTTTTAGACATTGGGAAAGTACAAAGAATAAATAGGTATTTTTCTATTATTACTCTAGGATCTGTTGCAAGAAGAAACAACCACATTACCACATTAGAGATAAGACGATTGAAGTTGACATGTACAAAAGTAAATTGTGACTTAAGCATTAAACAGTGGGAATAATACAATTAGTAGAAAAGGGCTGGGAGCATGCTCAGGTGGTAGAGAGCCTGCTGAACAAGTGCAATGCCGAATGCAGACTTGACTCCTAACCCCTAGAAGAAAAGTAAAAGTGAAAATAAATACAGGAGTATACTTTACAATCTCAGGACAGGAAAAGCCTGTCTAGGCATGCCAAAAACATCAAAGCCTTAAAAGAGCAAGGTAGGTTTTAATTAGCAAAGCTGAAAGACTAATTGTGGAAAGGGATTTGGAATGTGAAGTATTTGGCTAGGATGACAATCTCTGTTCCTTATAGTCCATCAGCCATAGGGAAGTGACTGTAATGGCCGCTGCTTCTCTAGTCTCCAAACAGATCATTCCAAATCTGACAGAACAAGGCGGTTGGAAGGTGAGATTCTAGAACTGAACTCACTCAGATGGGGCCAGCAGGCTTAAATAACACTGAAACTAAGAAAAGTGCTTCATTTTCTTTATCTTCAAGAAAGAACAACTCAGTGAGACTCCTATCTCCAATAAACCACTAGAAAACTGGAAGTGGCGCTATAGCTCAAGTGGTAGAGCGCTCTTCTTGAGCTGAAGAGCTGAGGGACAGCGCCCAGGCCCAGAGTTCAAGACCCACAATTGACAAAAAAAAAAAGAACCCCTGTGTGAGCCAGGTGCCAGTGGCTCACGCCTGTAATCCTAGCTACTCAGGAGGTTGAGATCTGAGGATTGTGGTTCAAAGCCAGCCCAGGGAGAAAAGTACCCTCGAGATTCTTATCTCCAATTAACAACTCAAAAACCAAAAAGTGGTAGACTGCTAGTCTTGAGTAAAAGAGGTTAGGGCAGTGACCAGGCCCTGAGTTCAAGCCCCAGGACCGACAAAAAAAGGAAAAAGAACCTCCATTTTGTTAGATCAGGACGAAGGACTGAAATTTATGCCATGATTTGGCTTTGATGCTGTTTGCTAAAAAGAAAAAAAAGTAATAGTGTCTTCAACATTCACCCTTTTAATTAAGCTCACCACCAAGAAGCTTACGTCTATTTTTAAAAAGTTCCTATGACTTCTCACTTTGGACTGAGGGAGTGGCTCAAGTGGTACTTTCTTAGCAAGCTCAGAGCCCTGAGTTCTTACCCTAGTTCAGTCATAAAAAATTATGAACATGAGGGGCTGGGAAGGTGGCTCAGTGGTAGAGCGCTTGCCCTGCATGCCTGAAGCCCTGGGTTTGATTCCTCAGCACCACATAAGCAAAAGGAAAAAAGCCGGAAGGGGCACTGTGGCTCAAGTGGTAGAGCACTCGCCTTGAGCTGAAGAGCTGAGGGACAGCGCCCAGGCCCAGAGTTCAGGCCCCACGACCGACAAAAAAATAAATAAAAATAAAACCACACCAGAGGATTTAAAAAAAAAAAAAGAAGTAGGGCTGAGAAGGTGGCTCAGTGGTAGAGCGCTTGCCTTACATGCCTGAGGCCCTGGGTTCGATTCCTCAGCACCACATAAGCAAAAAGAAAAAAGCCGGAAGTGGCGCTATGGCTCAAGTGGTAGAGTGCTAGCCTTGAGCTGAAAGCTGAGGGACAGCGCCCAGGCCCAGAATTCAGGCCCCACGACCGGACCCAAAAAAAAAAAAAAAAAAGAAGTAGAATACCATTCATGAGTGAAAAGTCCAATGAGAACATGAGGCTCTGAGTTCAAGCTCTCCTACTAACACACACACAGACACACACAGACACAGACACACACACACAGACACACACACACACAGACACACACAAAGGAAGGAAGGAAGCAAGGAAGGAAGGAAGGAAAGAAGGAAAAGAGAAAGAAACTAAGACAAAGAGAGGGAGGGAGGGAGGAAGGAAGAAAAAGAAAAACAATACTGTTTCTATAAGCCATGGGACAACATGTTTGAAGATTAGAAACCAATACTTTAGTCCCATTAGGAACATGATTGTTTTTTGTTGGTCATGGGGCCGGAACTCTGGGCCTGGGCGCTGTCCCTCAGCTCTTCAGCTCAAGGCGAGCGCTCTACCACTCGAGTCACAGTGCCACTTCCCAGTTTTTCTGCTTATGTGGTGTTAAGGAATTGAACCCAGGGCCTCCTGCATGCAAGGCAAGCACTCTACTACTGAGCCACATTCCCACCCCAGGAACATGAATTTTATCTACGCTTGGTGGTAGCTCTATAATCCCAGCACTCAGGAAGCAGAAACAGAAGGATTAAGAGTTGAAAGCCAGCCGGGGCACAGTGAGATCCTTGGTTAAAAAAAAAAGAACATGGATTTTTTTCTGCGTACCTTCAGTTCATTCAATGAGTTGTGCTCTTCAAAATGTTTCCTTTTTCTCTTAATATATTCATCAATGGACTCCATTCCCTTAAAATGAGCTTCATGAAGCTTCTTAAAGTCTAGAAAATTCCCCAAAAATATGAAAATAATCAAGACAAAACCCATTTATTCACTTTCACTTTTTGCATCCTTTTTTTGGTTTTGGGGGGGGGGGAATCCAGTCATGGGGCCTGAACTCTGGGCCTGGGCACTGTCCCTCAGCTCTTCAGCTTAGGGCTAGCACTCTACCGCTTGAGCCACAGCACCTTTTCCGGCTTTTTTTCCCTGCTTATGTGGTGCTGAGGAATCGAACCCAGGGCCTCATGCATGCAAGGCAAGCGCTCTACCACTGAGCCACCTTCCCAGCCCTCTTTTTGCATCCTTGACATTTAACTTCAGTGTCATCTCTGCTAAAGTTCCACTTTTGTTGTTATTTTGGGTCTGGTTGTGGGGCCTGAACTCTGAGCCTGGGCGCTGCCCCTCAGCTCTTCAGCTCAAGGCTAGCGCTCTACCACTTGAGCCACAGCGCCACTTCCGGCTTTTTTTTTTCTTTTTGCTTATGTGGTGCTGAGGAAACAAACCCAGGGCCTCAAGCATGCAAGGCAAGCGCTCTACCACTGAGCCACCTTCTCAGCCCTGAAAGTTCTAATTTTAAATGCTTAAGTTTCTGGAAACTTGGGGCAAATCATGGTCATCTTATAAACTGTAGGGCAGTCACCATCTTTGGGTTGTCCACTTTCCTAAGTGACATCTTGGTTTACTAAGGAGAAGACATAGCCCAATGGCCAACAACAAGAAAAACCTCTAGACTAAGGGCTTATAAGTGGTTGACAAGTAGCCTTGAGTGAAAAAGCTCAGGGCAATACCCAGGCCCTGGTATTATCACCACCACCACCACCACCAAAAAAAAAAAAAGTGAGAAGTTTTACAAGTCCAAAACCAGATTTTTTTTTTTTGGGGGGGGGTCCTGTCATGGGGCCTGAACTCTGGGCCTGGGCGCTGTCCCTCAGCTCTTCAGCTCAAGGCTAGC